AAAGAAAGAAACAGGATAACAGCGTGTTTCATCCAGGCTAAAAATTGCTTCGCCAGATATTAATTAACCAGAATCACCAACCTGCAGTCGGTATATTTAAACACACCACACGCCATGTGCGTTATAAATAAAGCGATGAGAATAAAGCTTAAATGAAATCAACATGACACGACAGATATTCGGTGCGCGATAATTATTAGGATGCATTTGCTGAATAATTATTCATGAGGAAGGTAAGAAGGTATGATACGATTTCACGGAATCGTCGTCTCCGCCGGCGGATATCTTCGTCGAACATTTGCCATTTATAAACGGAAGTGCTGCAATTAAAACGGAAGGAACGGCTGCAGCTTGTATCTGGCCTAATCCGATGCAGCTGCGAAACACGAATAAGACGATAGGAGCCAGCAGGGAACGGGGTAACAATAATCTGATAGAAAACAGCTGATCCACTTTAAGCGTCGGTTTTTGTCTTAAAGCGTCCTGGCTAAACAATAATTCACGCTTAAACGCGCTTTCAGCAGCGGCGCTCCCCATTGTCCGCTCCTTGCGTAGCGAGATTTATTTGCGCGAAACTTTTGTACACCACTACCCGCCGTCGTCCGCCTTTCCCTGATAGCACCGGCGGCCGCTTGGTTTTCACTATTTTGCCCGTAGGACCGCGTTCACGGACAAAAGCGTGAGAACCTCCCCCTCCCCTCCGAACCAAAATGAATGTCCGGTCTGTGTGTCTGTGTGTATCAACCTGGCCACCGCTCTTCCCATTCCCCCGCCTGTGTGAAATTAACTCGGATTTAACTCGTAAAAGCGTACAAATTTCGGGCGAACGGTTCAAGCGTGCCTCGCTGCATTTGCTAAACCTACTTTATATTTATGCATGTAAGGAAAAAGGGGCAGAGAGAGAGAGAGAATTGAAAGAGGAAAAAGAAGAATTCGTTTGAACGCGCTTGCGCTATTTTTGGAGAGCGAGAGAGAGAGAGAAAAGGAGAAAGATTGAAGTTTCGCCTTTCCGTATTTAGATTCGGCGAGTGTTCGTATCCGCTTGGGACAACTTAGCAAAAGGACTCCACTTTTTACGTTCAACGAGATCCTCTCCTTCCTCCATTGTCCTATCCTCGCTTTACAGAGTGAATTGACCAGGATCGTCCGCGGGATTAGAAAGAATTCGGAGACAGTGATCGTTTTAGTTCGGCTAGCAATGCGAATTTGAAAAATGTTGTAGATTTCGAGAGAGAAAAAAAAAACAAAATACGCAAATTGAAAATTATGAAACTTTTGACGTGCAAGAATATTTGTAGGATCTGATTAGTGAGTTTTACGGTGTGGCGGAACAAGTGAAGTAGAATAAGACGATCGTAGCCAGACAGTATTAGAAGTCGTATTAAAAGTTCACATAAAATACAGATAATTTTCATCGCTTTGATACTTGAATACACTCTAATATAATAATCAGAGACGGTTCAAATGTACATTTTCAAATTAGTATCATTAATTGCACAGCTAAGAGAACCTTGAAAATGACCATTCCTGTGAAGTTTCATCTGCTTCCAAAGTATTCGACCACACGTCCAGTGAAACTTCGAAACCTGATACTCTGATACAATCCAGGCGATCACTCGATTCATTCTCATCGTAAAAAAATTATATCGCCTCCTGCCCGTCGTGCAATCTCGCCGAAACACCTTACGCATCCAGAGAAAATTACGCGGAGCAATCGGATTTTTATTATCGGATCGATAATTTAAAGAGGAGGGAGGGGAGAAGAGGGGGGATAAGCCGAGATTATTTGCAACCTCGGTTCGGGACCGGTTCGCGTGCGGTCATATCCCGAAAATGAAATACAGATGGTCGCTGGAGATTCAGACGATCGGTAGAGCGTATACCAAGAGACCCCTCGTCGCTTTCGTGCTTTCGTGCCGCGATCTGGCGCGATAAGCGGCGCTTTCGAGAGAGGAGAAAGAGCGAGGGAAAGTGATAATTCGGTGGGGCCGGGGCGGGGAAGTGGCCTGTTCCGCGGACAACGGCCCAAACACAGGCACTTTCGGCAAATAGAGGTGGCAATTTAAAGGGTGAGAAAAGTAAATCGATCACGGGGCGAAATGATATGGGACGATGGGCGACGATAGCTTGCCAATCGGTTTGCAAATGTATGCGGGATTTACAATTCGATCCCTATGGACGGTTGACTAATCTCGGTGAAACCATATCATTCGAAGAACTCCCGTCCGAGATATCGATTTACACTCTGGTCAACATTGCTACAGAGGTAGCTATCGAGGTATTGTCGCTGCTGTACCGTCCCTATCGGGCTGGGGTGGAGTTCTATTGACAAAGGATACACGACGTAACCCTGCCACGGATGATAGCGCGCCGCTCGTATTAATTTGCAAGATCCGAGCGAACGATCATTGTGAAATTTAGCCACAACTTGCCGCGAGATTGTTGCCGCACCGGCTCGTTGACACGGAACTTTTGTGCAAACAGCCGAAAAGGATAATTAACCCTTAACTGTTATTACGGGATAGAATACTCCGTGCAGAAATGAAACCAAGTTTCAGCAATGAGACAGAGACAGAGTAATCATTGCGTGTTTTTCCGTATTCGTACTCCGATAAAAATACTATTTTTTTTCGAATAACTTGTACATATAATTACGAATTGAAGTTGATCCAACGAAAGAGTAGCTCGAACTGAAATTTTTCACGATGTCTACTTATTATCTCTTAATTTACAAATAGCAATCTTAATTGCGAAAATTGTCGCTATTCTTCATTAAAAAAAGCTTTAATATCTCGTTTCATTCAAGCGTGGTTCCAAAGTCCTGAATTATTATGTAAAAATTGTTGATAAAATGGGCTCTTTGTTCGAGCAGAAATTTAAAACTCCATGACGAAAATATATATATTAAATCGAGAGAAATGTAGGGTGATATCTAACGAAAGATATCACGTTTCGAATGTATTATTGGGATGAATGTTTCTCGTGCAAGCGCGGCTGATAATTTTCACGTGCATATGAATTGATATTGCAGAGACGGGGAACTAACTGTTTTATTTCTATGCGGTGCTCGTTCCCAAAATAATCCGATATTTGTTGACCAAGTTCCACGTAAATGTTTGAATAGCAAATATAGCAGACTGAATTATTTTCATCGCTGTTACGCCGATACGAGTAACACAGCGGTTCTCGATACACGTGACGAGAACCATAG